TTCAAAACCACATATTTGCAAAAATCCATTGTGTTCTTTCAAACTTAACAACATGACTATTCTATGCATAGTGAGTGCTCCAAAGGGAATGGTGGGAGACTACAGGGGTGTGTTCTGTTTACTTTTTCCATATTTTTGGCATAGGTTCTAATAATGGATGAGATTACAACCAACTTTAGAGGCACTCAAATTGCATCGAGAATTGGTATTTAACAATGAAATCTCACTTGTAGCTATAAATAACTAAGCTAAAGCAGGAGCAGTATTCAAGCCGGAAAATCATCATTTATAAAAGATAACATTCTAGTATTCAGACTTAGACTAGTTGCCTTAGAATACAAAAGATAACATTCTAGTGTTCGCTTTGCAGTGTCAAATATATTTTGCGGATAGAATTCAAGAGAGAACATAATAGAAAATTAGTTACTCCAGCCGATCAAATTTGACATTTTAAAGCTTGAGCTAATGCTAGACAGAGCAAGGTGATCAAGCTGGTATTTTTTCAACTACAAAGCAGCCAATTACCTTGATCAATTTTCCGCAACCTATCAAAGCCTTCAACTCCACTTTCAACAATTTTTCAAGCTTGGGAGGTGCTGAATGCTTCTCCTGAAATAAGTGCAAATTATGCTCAAATTGTGAAAATTTCTTAGGAAATATCAAAAAGAACATAAAAAATGAACCAATTAATAAAGTCCTCAGATTTCTGACATAAGATGTGTATGGCTGCTTGAAATTGCAGAAATTAGTATGAATACTATATAGCTCACAAACGTAACATAACCACTTGGAACTACCTCAATGTATTCAGCAATTRCAGYACGGCTAGAACCATGTGACTCCTTCAGATTAGYTATGGTATCCAATATAAGGCTATCCAACCTACATTAATAMGATTTACCTTGTGAACAAAGATTCAAGGGAAGTATAATGATACACATTTAACTAAAAACTGAATGTAAAGACATCAATGAGAGAAAGGCTATAACAAGAAAACCCAAACACAAGGTAGCATCTTCCCGGGAGGCATGTTCTTTACACAACAGTCCACACAYGCATATATGCATATCTATGTATCTATATCTACAGATATGTATGTGTATCGATGCATGACAGCAAATTAGCTAAAATGGATTGGTTGTTTCTCAATAGAATGTTTGACAAAGTTCTTTCCAATTTTCAACAGGGAGAACCCTTGTGCATTTTCTATTCTCGTTATGGAATATGCATTTTCAAATTAAAACCCCCAAAACGCAGACCAGAATCGAGCATGTCTAATGTTATACAAAATGGGTTATATGATTTACCTGCTGAGTGATGGGAGAAGGCGGCAAACAGGAAGGGCGGTTTAGGGAGCAGCTTCGCGAGGGGAAAGGAAGACAGCACCGGCGAGGAGGCAAACCGATTAGGGCACAACTTCGCAAGGGACGAGACGGGAAGGGAGCACCGAAGAGGAGGATTGATTAGGGCGGGAGGAAGCGATGGGAGGGAAGCGATGGGAGGGAATCTGGGAGAAGGAAACGGGAGGAAGGTGGTTGAAGCAATCGACAAGAATCGATGGGAAGGAGAAGCCCGGATTTGGATTTCAAATCCCGCTAGTCTGCAATGGATTTCCAAATCCCGCGTCTAATGGATTTTAATGAAATCCCAGGATTCCAAATCCCTCCAATTTGGCAAACCAAACACATGATTGTAATGGATTTCAAATCCAAATCCCCCCAATTCCATTCCAATCCCGCAAACCAAACGCACCCTTACGAGGTGTTTGGTTCACATAATGGAATTTGATGGAATTGGAATCCATCAAGGGAATTTGACTTTGAAGGAATTAGAATGAAATTTGATGGAATTTGACCATGCATTTGGTTGGTAGGAATTGGAATGAAATCTCTCAATAGAATTGGAACAATCGTCTTTGTTTGGACCATCCCACATATCGCCC